GCCATACAAAAAGGACAAGCTCCCATGTCTAGATCAGAAGCTGTAGGGCTTATTTGTCTTCTAGTTTAACCCCAGATTTGTTAAAAAGAAAAACAAACCCACAAAAAAACCCCAAACAAAACAACAACAACAACAAACCCAACAACAACAAAAACCCAAGGAAGAAAAACCCCCAAAGCACCCCACAACCTTCCTGCCAAACTAACTCACCTCTGGATGTTTACGCCTCATGTGTCGACTCATGGATGCTCGCGTAGAAACCTTTGTCCCGCACAGCTGACAGCTCTGGGCTTCTACCTTATCATGAGTGAGCTGAATGTGCTTCTGCAGCATGTAATCAGTGACATACTTCTTATCGCAGACCGAACATGTCCACTGTTTTCCTACTGGTGGCAGACGGAAGGAAATGCTATTGGTAACAGCCCCCAAAGACGTGCAGCACGGTGTCAGCATCTCAACAAGGGGAACAATTTTATGTTGGCAGCGTGATGTGTAACACTAGTTCCAACACTGGCAAGTCTAAAGAAGCCTAGAAACAAAACTGAGATGTTGTCGTAGGAGCCTGGTTTTTAGAGGATTTACCTGTATGAATCAACTTATGAGTCTCCATCGTATTTCTCTCACTAAACGTCTTGCCACAGAGCTCACACATGAAATCTTTGATTCCTGCATGAAGAGCACATTCAGCATCAGAGTGAAAACAGTCTAAGGTATCTGGGACAGTTCTGAGCCTCCTATTGCTACAACACCAAAAACCAATAGATCACAGCCAAACAAGCAGAAGCAGGCCAGCTCCACCAGGTATTTTTGTCTAAGCCATGACACTTATCTGTCGGAAAATGAATCCGAGGGAACCTGATGTGAGAGGTAAAACTTTTATTTTGGGAAATGAGAACCTGAGGACTAACTTAATATGGGCACTCTACACCTACGCTAGACCAAAACAACCCCTCTTAAAAATGCAAAACATGAAAGCAACTAAACTATATATCTTAATTGTGTAACAGGTGGACTTGGCTGACTACAGAACAAAATTGCACTTTCTAAAAAGGAGAATATGTGTACTTTTTTCTTAGTGTTTCTCATACTCTCTGCTGTTCTAGATAAGAGCTCTCTCAGGAAGCATTTAACTGATTCAGCGCAACTTTTGCACATCTTTAGAGACCTCACCCGTATGTCTTTTGTAATGCTTCAGCATGTTGACTTTCTGTGCAAATTTTCGGTGACATTCCTTGCATTCATATTCTTTAATCCCTTTGTGAAGTTTCATGTGGTGACGGAGCGCATGTTTTGTCTTCATTCCTGTGAGAAAAAAGGTACAGCAGGACAAATGTCAATTGCTCCCACCTTCAGAGGAGAACTCGGGGTGATCAAGTTGTTAGCCAAGAGCCCTACGATTATATTTGCTGTGTGCCCACAAGGGCAGATTTTTAACTGTTTAGGCAGCAGTGCACATTATCATTAGTATTTTAATTCCACGAAAAAGCTCTGGAAAACATCTGAGTAACCACTGAGGAAGAAGCAGAACAGCAGGGACAAGCAAAGACAGAACATTACATTAGAGATGTCAGACTTACTGCCTTCTGCTAAAATACCAGTTCAGGTTTGCTCCAGTTATAATGCAAACAATTTAAAAAGTCAAAGCAACTTTGACTCTTAAGGCTCTTACAGAGAGAAATTGCTCTATTTCTCATGCCTGAAAACAGCCCAGAATGAAAAAATTAACTTGTATTCACTTTTGTGCTGCAAATGCACTGGAACTCAGTCAGGCAAACAATCTGACAACAAAAGCAAATCTTCCTATAATTGGTTCTGTCTTACAGGCCATAACACTATATTGTATAAAAATAAGGGTAGTTTATGTAACCGTAAGGATCCTGACTAATACAGTTTCTACCTCTCAGAAACACAGGATTTATTGCACTCTGATATATCTGATGAGGTTTTAAGCAACCTGGTCTAGTGGAAGGTGTCCCTGCCCATGGCAGGGGGGTTGGAACTAGATGGTCTTTAAGGTCCCTTCCAACCCAAACAGTTCCGTTATGCTATGATTCTATGACCTTCCCAGTATTCTAAGGACAAAGTAATTTTAATTCAGATATTCACCTGCTATTCAGTATCACAATTAATGGAAAACAAGGCATTAGACATACCTTTGCCACATTCTGCACACAAGTATTCTCGGATATTATCATGGACTCGCATATGTTCTTTTAACATGTCTTTTCTAGCAAATGATTTGCCACATTGCTCACAAGCATGACTTTTTACACCTTAAAAATAAATTTAAAAGACAACATAAACAAAAAAAATGTTAATGAAAAATGTGCATCTCCTAAAAACTGACTAAACCGATGAATTAGAGGGCAACAGTCCACGTGTGTTGTCAACCACATCTTTCATGCATATTGTAGCCCAAACTAAATTAGAAGACTTTGGAGAGAGAGAAAAGCTGGCTTTTTATTTGAGATCTGGAAAAAAAAGATAAAGCCTGAGGTAGGAAAATACTGAATAGCATGAAATAATAATGAGCTGTTAAAAATGATTTTGCAATAGCAGTTTTCAGCCTGTGCAATGGTGAGAAGGTGGCATGGATAAGAGTCTGGGGAGGAACACAATACAGAATTAGGGGTTTTAGCAGGTGAATCCTACATCATATTAACTAGGAATCTGGATTGTGCCTAGACCAAATACCTTCATTAATACTACCTGCTTTAGAAAACCAGTCTACCCTAAAAGCATAATTATAACATTTATCTTATTGTAATGTACAGTAAAAACCCATATCTCATTTCCTCCTGAAAAACACATAAGGCAGGCACTGGCAACAGAATTTTCTTTTTTTTTAATATTGATAATAATAAAGAAATACAACATTTTTACCTGTATGTATAAGCTTATGTCTTTCCAGATTTCCTATACTGTTAAAAATTCTTCCGCAGATTTCACATGGATGGATGTATCTGAAACCAAAGAGAGGAAAAACTGTGATTCTTTTCTTGACACAGAGATGGTTTTCAGGCCTCTCTGTCAATAAGTATTTCTTTTGGTAATTACTATAAAAGATTCCTGGAAACATAATTGATCTTTTAAAATGAGCCTTAAGAAACCTGTAAGTTCACTGCAATCCTGGAGCAGCCTGGCACTGCTATATCCTCAAATCATAGTTTAAAAAAAATATTTACCAAAATCACAGATTTATACCTTACAAAGCCCAAACTGGGAGTCTGCTGACTAATCATCAGTGTGAAGTGAATCATTAGTGATCTATATTTCAAGCTTTTAATGAACATTTTCCCACCCATTATACAGTTTCTGATAGTTTATTACAGCCCAATTCTCTAAAAGCACGAGATGGCAGAGCCACTGTAACTTCAGAAAGATTGAACTCTTTATCCGTCCAACACGCCATCTTACTTCTGCACGTTAGGATCAGGCAGGTTCTCCCGATGGATGACCATGTGTGCATGGTAAGTTGCCTTCAAGGCAAAACGCCGGTTACAGATGCTACAGCCATAGCCTTTCTCCTTGTGCATGTCCATTATGTGCTTCAGGTACTCCCTCCCTCTGCCGAAAGTCAGCTGTGGAATGAACCAATAGTGAATGAAAGGGGAGAACAGTCCTCGGGAACCACAACGATCGAGTAACGCATTACTGGGATCTAGAGCTGGAGCTGGTAGACATACATGTCCTGTGTATCACTGGATGAAAAATCTGTGAAAGCTGGATTTAGGCCACAGCCTCTTTGGCCATTAAAAGCACGCTGCACTTTAAAACTGGTTCACCGATAAAAACAGAAAAATTATCTCCATGTCTTTAAAATGAAGATAAGCTAAGCAATTTCACCACCACATTATTCATAGAACCATAGAATGGTTTGGGTTGGGAGAGACCTTAAAGACCATCCAGTTCCAACTCCCTGCCATGGGCAGGGACACCTTCCACTAGGCCAGGTTGCTCAAAGCCTCATCCAGCCTGGCCTTGAACACTTCCAGGGATGGGGCATCCACAGCTTCTCTGGGCAACCTGTGCCAGTGCCTCACCACCATCTCTGGGAAGAACTTCTTCCTGATATCCAAAATCTCCCCACTTTCAGTTTAAACCCGTTACCCCTTGTCCTGTCACTAGAGGTCCTTACGTGCAGACTGTGAAATAAGATCTGATTTCCAGGGGCCAAGTCAGCAGCTTAACCTCAAAAATGCCCGTTTGGTCAGTTTTGCTCTTCTCACTGACTGCTTTTGCATCCTCCCCTGCGCCCATCCTTCCCCATTACTTCTTTACAAAATGACAAAAGCCATGCAGTAATAGGTTTAAAAAGTCTTCCTCTCTCAGGTGACAACTACGTGAGGTCTGTTCCAGCAGCACTTCTAATGCCATCCTGTCAGGAACAGAGTAATCTAAGAATGAGCAGTCATGCTGAACATAAGCAGCAGTCTTAATCCTCCCAACTGGATATCCACTACAGAACCACCTGATCTTATCAAAACTAACCAATTTGTGGACTGGGTCATTCAGAAATGCTACAACAGTCTGAATTTGCACATAATTAAAAGGTAGTGTAAGATTCGACTGTTCCTTTATCGTCTCTTCCTCCAGTTTTCCTTGCTTGCTTCCTTGCACACGCGTAACCGTTACGTATGTGTGTTTCTCTTTTTAAGTGTTTAGCATTCACCTTGCAGAACACCACCTAACACTTGATGGAACAGCATCGCTTTATAGATTGGAGATAACAAGCACTGCAGAAAAGACTAGACCCATGGGCTGGCCTTCTCTTTGTGAGCCCTTAACGTTACTTAAAATTCTGAACTATTTATAGACACCTCCACCCCCTCGCCCCATCCCAAAACAAGTTAATTTGAAAGTATTTAAAGCTACCTGGCACCTTTTGCAGCTATACTTGTGTGGCTCAGAATCTGCACTTTCATCAGAGTTGTCATCGTTTTCCTCTGATGAGATTCCAATTTTCCCAATGAACTCTTCCCTCTGGTGATCATCCATCAGCGCTATGTCCTGCGAAGGGTGGGAAAGAATGATCTGCTTTAATAGACTGAACTTCTGTTTCAAAAGGTAACAGTCAGTCAGCTTCTGTTGCCATGCAGACTGCCTTGCATTAACAACTGCTGTAACATTATTTATTTAAAATATCCTCCTGCTTCATTCAATTCAGGTAAACAAAGTTCCTCTGTCCATGACTAAACAAGGAGCAACTGTTTAACCAAGCAAATAATGCTCTTTTTTTTTTTGTGTATAAAAGAAACTAATGGAAACAGAGACGCAACTGGTAGAGTTATTACATCCATAAAAGCATCTTTGTGAACACCATGGCGCGATGCAATTCCCTTTCAATTCAATTCCTTGCGATTCAGCGTTAACCTCGTTACGTCAAAATAATCTGGGTCTGATTAAGCACTATTAAAAGAGTTTTTTATGTGATTTGAGACGTTTTGACAAAACCAGGTAAGGAATGCAATACACAGGCAGTTATTCTGGCACATACAAGAGAATCACAATCACTGGCATGGAAAGGGCAGGGCCAATTAGTTCTCTTGTTTGCTTTCTTCCCCCAAGGAGAGGGGATGACTGTAACCCCTCAGCCCAACAAAACCACAACTCAACCAACACTCTCCCTGCTTCAAACTGCGCAACCTCTGTGATTCACCCGGGGTCACAGAGGTGGTTTTTCCATAGCGCTCAGAGCAGCGCTCTGCAGCGGTAGCTGAACTAACTTCCAATAGGGTAGTCCACATGCTCTGCAGCAATCCAGATGTGGATAGAGCCATGGGTAAATCAGAGCACAACTCACGGCAGGCTGCTGTAGAAACGTCACTGCACACCATACATGATCACTGCTGTGTTGCCAGTATGAACATGGCCATTTATTTATATATTTACGTGTCGGCTGAGTAACATGCCTTTTCTAGGAAGTTATTAACACAATACCTTAAAATGGACATGAATATGATCTCTCAACACATCCACCCTGAAAAATTTACGTCCACAGATTTCACAAGTGTATTTCTTGTCTCCATGTGTTAAAAGGTGTTTGTTCATATTGCTCCTACATGAAAATACCTGAAAGAAAAGGAGGGAAAAGAGGGTGTTTGTATCATCACCAGTTCCTTGCAAGTTATCCAGTGGAGAGCACAGAACTTATTTACTGTCCTGTTTTATTCATTCAGGCCAGAAACATGTAGGGGCTCCTGTTACCCAGCCAGCAGGCTACCTCAGAGACTGCTAACACAGCCAAATACAGATGTACAGTTCCAAGGAACTGACTGAAATTGCCTGTTCATCAGAGGTGGACCTCCAAAAAAGCTGCAGCAGAATTACACAGGGCAGATTTAACAATATTTAGACAGTGTCTTTTGAACAATAAAGGTTCCACCTATCTACAAAAAGACACATCCACAAAATCTACTTTCATAGATATGTAACTTATCCAAAACATCAAAGATAAAGGTCCACACACCAGTTTAAGAGGCGCTGGAGTAGATCTTGCACCATGCATCAATAAACATTTATAAAATCAGGAGTTAAACCCACAGTCTTTGTGCCTGTGATAACAGCAACTGAACAGCATGAGCGTTAAACACCCAAACGCAACAGTGCCATGACTGCACCATGAATTCACTTTGTTTTCTTATGGAAAATGGTTCCCAGAGCAAACAGTCAACTCCAGCCGTTTACATTCCGGCAGAAGAACTTCACTCTAAATAACATTAGCCATGAGATTTCACTGACAGACACAGCGGTCACGTTACACTCTACATGGTGCTAAATGTCCTGAAAAAGAAATCTAGTCCAAACTTCAGTTTTGTTCTTATCCTTGTGCTAACAGCTCCCGCCACCCATGGCCACAGTGGGCTTGGATGTATAACGGAGCTAAGGCGGTTTGAAGAGTAATGTCTCGGCCAGGCGACAGGGCCCAACAGTAAGTAGCCACATGCCTGTCCGAGTCGTGAGGTAATCTGACTTGGCACGTACCTCAGTGCGTGTCATTTACCTCAGCCTTGTAGCAGTGCTGTCCAGCCAGGCTGCTGCTGTCGTTTAATACACGGGGGGTAACTTGCTGTGTCACAGTAACCCGTCTGGAGGCACTGGTTTTCGGTGCACTGTATCCCTGCGGCTATAGTGTCCCGTGGAGGTGCAACACAGAGCTTCACGCGGCACACGCTGGGAAAGATGCCTACCTTCCCGCAGACGGGGCATCCCGAAGGCTCCTTCTTGTAGCGAACCATGTTTTCCGTGCTGTGCTCAAAGTCTTCTCTTTTCACACGCCTCACCCCTTAACAGAACAGTCCCCATCAAAAAACAAAACAAAAAAGTAAACCATGGTTTTCCACTCCAATCTGCATGCCCTTTCAGGTGAATACTGTAAAGAAGAGTGAAACACTAGGAAGAGTCTCAATGCAGAATTTAATGGCTAACAAAAGGATAATTTCTAAATTAAAACGGTGTCTTAAGAATATAAAAGCAGCCGGCCAAAGAGGAGTATTATGATTTTTGGTTACGACACCAACTGTAAAGTGTCTGAAAACAGACATTTGTTGTCAACACCTGGAAACAGGCAGATCTAGTAGGCCTTGGCAATTCGATCACACACCTGGCCCAGAAGTTCCCCCTCGCAGTCTCTAAGGAGAGAGGCAACCGTAAAGCACCATCTTCAGTGCTCAGTGATGATTTCAGACCACACCTGATGATTTCAGATGATTTCTCCGCTACTTTCAGGAGGGAAGAGGGCTGCTGCTGTTCTGTGACAGCTAAACATGAGACACCTCGCCACTGCCATTCAACCTCTTGTCCTGTAGTTCATGACACAAAGGTCTGGATCACAAGAGCAGCCAGGGACAGGTGCTATGCCCAAAGCATCAAATTAGATAATCTGGCTGCATTTTTATAATCACCTTTGGTTTTATCATCTAGACTGCTAGAGGCATTTTAATACATATTTCAGCAACCTACCATCGCCCAAGTTTTTCCAGAGTCTCTGAGTACCTATAACATCCTTAGATGCTTGAGAATTTCAACAGTGAAGTCTTACAATTTCATTTTCATATAATCACAAGATTTTGAAAGATAATGTCACACAGCATTCCATTTATACCATATTTATACAGTAGTCACTGTCAGTTGTACACTGCAATTTAATTCTTTGCCTTCAAATTTTCAATTTACCACACATTAAAAAAAAAAAAAAGAATTCAAAGAAATAAAAAGATATCATTAAAATCAGCTGGTCTAACCTACTGCTTAATAAGCCAAGCAACTTTCACATGACTGTTACTAGCACTGGATCCAATCATGTGAGGCTGAAAAAAAGGTAGGTGCATCTTCTAGAAAGTTTTTCATGGAACTAGACAACTCCCCTCCAGGATCTGTCACTATGATTTTTAATAAATGTCATGTTTTGCTGAAACCTGCTACTCCAGATCAGGTAACTGACAAAAAAAGATGACAGTTACCATCCAGAAGAATCTTTTCCTTAACCTTCCCACCTCTACTGCCATTTCAAGAGCAGTAATTTGGTTGATCTGAAGTACACTTACCTTCCAAGTGTCGCCTTTGATGGTCTAGCATGACATCCTTCCGGTAGAACATCTTATTGCAGATTTCACATGCAAACTTCTTATCCCCATGCTTTTTCTTGTGTTTTGAAAGATTACTGTTTGTAGAAAAGAATCTGAAACACATCTCACACTGGAATGTCTTGTCATCTGTAAGCAAGAGAAACCATGCAGCTCTTTACGGATGAGAAGAAGGTTTGTATGCTTATGAGATAGGTAGTTACTTTGTTAGGTCTGAGTTTTAAGCATATGTTTTTCTTTTACCTAAACCCTTTTTTTTCAAAAGCAATAATCATGTAAGATGCTAATGTGAACATGGAAACCAGCACTGTGTCTTCCTACATGGGCTATTTCTGTGGTCTAGCATACATGAAATTGTGTTTGGTGTGGATTCTCTCACAGCTGATTCAAGTTTTTAATGTTGGTAAAACCACTAAATATACAGCAACACAGACAGCTGTGTCTAAGCACCAGAATACTTCTGCCAGCACTGGCACCAATACCAGCCAGGACAGAATACTCCAGAAGAAAGTATAAAATCTCCAAAATACACCAATGTAGGCCTATGGGGAATTTGTTTTATATTCAGTAGTTGAGACTTTTCTTGGACCATGAAAGCATGGTCCTGTAGATGGAATCTGCCAGTGATGCAGCAATAACAAAGAAGTAACAGTTTGATGCCTTGAAGAGCAGAGCAAAAACTGCTGCTCGTTTTGCTCAACTCAGAGAGAAAATGAGCTGCTGCCCTTGAACAAACAGAATACTGAGGTTACCTGGCATTACTTTCCATTCTTCGTAAGGCTGAGTTTTTATACAGGCTGTACCCTCTGAAGGGAAATGAGAAAACCTACTTTGAATGGTGCTCTAAGGGGCAGTTGCCCAGGTGATTCAGGACTGACACTTACCACGCATCGATAAAAGTAACCAGGATGTCATTTTCTAAGCATAAGATCACTAAGCATAGATATGAGTAACCACAAGGGATAGCTATGGGAGAAAAGGTCAGGTTCAAGTGATACTAAGAAAAAAAACACTAGAGAGACTACTGCAAATATAAAGAAAGCATGAGAAAGCAGAAGAAAATTGGATTCCCAGAAAATACAAACTATTGATAGTACTGGCCCCCATTCCAGCTTCTCTATTTCAGAGAAATGAGGTGAAACTTAAGTTTCAGGAAAGAAAATTAAACAGAGATGGTTACAGAGTTATCTGTGAACATACAAATGAAATACCAGTAAGGATATTAGACAGGCAGGCAGGAGATACTAAAAGAAGGAATACATAAGTGGATGTGTTGACCTACAGATTACTGGTTACACTTGTCTTATCACAAAAAGTTTTTTGGAGAGAAGCAGGACAGGTTTCTTGCTGTGATGAGGCCAAATATCTAAATTCCTAACCCCCTTCTGTAGTTTCTGTGCTGAGATGGATTTGTGAACATCCCTCCAAACTGGAGCAGAGATGCCAGAGGAAGTGGAATGGTTTGTCATTCTCACCTGTCCTGCAGTTGTGGAATTCCAACGCGCTCTCTATCCGAAAGGCCTTTTCACACGTCGTGCACTTGTATCTGTACTCACTGTCAACCTGAGGATTGCAAACAGTAAGTGTTTAAGTGGGGAAAAAGCCAAGTCACGTCCGAGAGAAATTCTAAATCTCAACTACTTTTTCCGATCTGTCTTTCCAATTTTTCTTCTTTTAACGGGGCATTTAAATGCATATTGATGCAAAACTCTGATGCTACGTCATCCTGCCATGTTCCTACACCTGAGCTCTACACAAAAAAAAAAAGCAGACCATGCATGTAGCAACCTCTCCGATAACCCAATGTCCAACACATGTGGGCACAGCCCTTAATTACACAGCCTTTACCCAGAGTTCACACGTTAAAAGACACTATAGGTGGGGATAAATGAAACAGGACAAGCGAACAAGACTGGAACTATCCTATTTAGTACCTTAAACTGCCGCCAGATCTCATCCCTAGATCATAATGGCCCAGCTAGCTCCAGCTTGTCTTGCTGTAATGATGCCTGAAAACAACTTTCTATAGGAAATTCAGACACGAAAAAGGACTTGTATGCTCGAAAGCGCGTCCACACTTTGCCAACTCGTCAGCTGTTCTGACAGAAGATGCTACCTCTCCCTATCAGTCTTGTCTCACTCATGCCCAGGGATATCGGCTCAAATATAAGTGACCCAAGCTCTGCAGCCGGCACCTGGAGGTTCACTGCACATTTTCACCTAACCTCAGAAAGAGCTGCTAGTCATTTCCACTCACTTCTCGAAAGCGCGTCCACACTTTGCCAACTCGTCAGCTGTTCTGACAGAAGATGCTACCTCTCCCTATCAGTCTTGTCTCACTCATGCCCAGGGATATCGGCTCAAATATAAGTGACCCAAGCTCTGCAGCCGGCACCTGGAGGTTCACTGCACATTTTCACCTAACCTCAGAAAGAGCTGCTAGTCATTTCCACTCACTTCATTCACTTCAAGCTCTCTTTGCGGCTGAACAGCTTTGCACATTCCTCACATTTAAACAGTTTGTCACCTAAGGGGATCAATCAAGATAAAAAAGAAAAAGAAAAAGAAAGTAATCAGTCAGTCCCCGATCCTAATCAACTCCAGGCAAGACAGGGGAAACCAAAGCACAAGTAACTGCAAACAGGCTAGTGATGTGAAGGTTTAGTAATTCAGGAGATCCAAATACTGGATTTCAACCTTTTCCGGTAATTTTGACAACAATTTTGTTTTGTTCCACACTCCACCTCCCCACTCCCCACCCCTCTTTTTCAGTGATTATTTTTCATGGAATCCACAGAAATCAGTCACTAACCCCTGGAACTACAGATCACAAGCTAAAAAACCACTCAGCTGACAATGACACAGCAATGTTACCCATGTGCCCGTGAAGGTGGGGAGCAATATATATGTTTATATGTTATATATGTTATATATTAA